GAGAGGAGAGGAGAGGAGAGGAGAGGAGAGGAGAGGAGAGGAGAGGAGAGGAGAGGAGAGGAGAGGAGAGCTCTCACCTGGTGCTCGCTGACCGGGGGACACCGGTGCTGACACAGTTCAGTCCACGAGGATGGAAACTCCCTGGAAGCTGGAGCTTTTGTGGCTGTGAGGTCGGTCCAGTGGTGTCAGTTCCAATCAGCCTCCTCTTGCAGAAACAGACTGCCACAGTGGGCTGGTTTTCAAACAGATCCAATATTTTGCTGCTTAGCTTGACTTTTAGGTTTATTTCCCAATTGACTTGCTCATAACAGCTTATCCTGTAGTCAGATTCCTGGGCTTCAGGAGCAGGGCCGGCTCTGCTCAGCCTGGGCTGAAACAGTGGGCTGGTTTTTATTTATTTTACTTCCTTAAAATGTCAAGATTTAATACAGCTTCAACCTTAGCTCAGCTGCTGCAGTGCAAGAGCTCCTGCACTGTTTGCCAAAGCTGGATATTCTATAGCCCTGGCCTAAATCCATACACAGGGAGACGAGGTCTTTCCCCAGCAGGGGAAATTTTCCAGCAGCAGTGTGGCTTCTCAGGGGTGCTGCTGACTCCTCAGGGTCCAAAGGAGCTTCTTCCAGAGCTGAAATCAGCGTTTTCCCAAAGATGGTAGGATGGAGTTGACACTGGACCAGTTCACAATGTGTACGACTGGAAGACCCTTCATTTTAATTTTACATCAGGTTTACTGTTTCTTACCTCAGGTGCATCTGAGGTAAGATATTTCTGTGTACATTCACCAGCTTCTTCTAATGCAGTTACTGCAGTCTGGGTTGCAGTAATTCCCAATGTTTCATATTGGGGATTCTCTGCATATTCCAAACTCCAGGTGCTGGGTTTGTCTGTGCCCACCGTGAATTTAATCCAAACAGTGACCGCTGCCCTGGCTCATCCCTGGGCCTGGCAAGTTGCTGCTTCCAGCAAATACTGGGATGTGCTGCTCGCTGTCCTATCCAGATTTACCTCTCGTGCCAGCTGATGGAAATAGCGATTTCCTTTGAAAACCACCTTTGTCTTTGCATTTGACACCTACGGCTGTTCCTCTGTCCCAGTGCATGGCAGCACAGCTGCGGGGGATGCACATCTGCACCACAGACGGACAGACGGACAGGGAAAGCAAGGCACCACAGACGGACAGACAGACAGGGAAAGCAAGGCACCACAGACAGACAGACAGACAGGGAAAGCAAAGCACCACACACGGACAGATGGACAGGGAAAGCAAGGCACCACAGACAGACAGATAGACAGGGAAAGCAAGGCCCGTGGCTAGGAAAGTATTGATGAGCAGAGAGGGTAGAGACAGGGGAGAGGAGTGCTCAAACCGAAAGAAGCTTGTAGAAAGCAGAAACCTGGAGCTGTTACACTCAACCCCTGCTCCTCTCCTCCAGTTCGCAGCTATCTTTTTCTGAAAAAAAAATAAACTAACACGATAAAATATCATAAATTTGGGTTGTGATGGTGCCACACCACCTAATGCCTTTTTTTTTTTTCCCCTAGGATGGTCTGGAAATCTAGGAGCACCTCTAACAGCCCCTTGATATGGAAATTAGTTCCTGGGAGCACTGAGAGGCAGAGATCTCTCCCCAGACAAAACAAAGGAATGGGCTTTCTCCGGGGCAATTGCAAAGCGATTTGGGGGCGATTGGGCGGAATCTGATACGTTTGTGAAACTAACAGAAGAGTCCCGTGCTGCTTTCTGTAGAACAAACACTTCCAAAAGTCAAACAGCCGAAAAATAACCAAACATTTAAAAACGGAAAGTAACGAAACATTGTAAAATGCAAAACCAACCAAGAGCAAAAGTAACAAACATTTCTATCAGGAAAGGTAACGAAACATTTCCAGGGAGAGGGAGGTCTGGCAGCTCTTCACACACTGCGCGTGGACGTTTATCACCGCAGAGTAGCTGGACGTTAATTTTTATGAAAATTACTTTGTAAGTGGCAGCTTATTGAGACATTTATTGGCAGTAATTATTCAAATGAAAGAATAAAGCCAATAAATTTGGTTCTTCAGGAAATTAGTGCTGATTTGCAGCATGAATAAACACAAATTCCCGTCTTCTCCCACGCTCGGCAGCAGCACAGAACAATCCTGGCGCAGAGCGGCACGGAGGGACCGGGAGCATCCCTGGGAATGATTCCCAGCTCGGGCGTGGGAAGGAGCCCGACTCCTTCGTCCTGCGGGCACCCAGGGGCGCCTGAGGAAATGCTCCAGGGCGCTCCTCCTGCTCCGTGCCAGGCCCTCCATTCCCGCACGTGTTTGAGGACATCTGCCAATTATGCGCACCAGGGAAATGCAACACCTGGAAGGACAGGGTTGGAGAGAAACAGATGCAGAAGGGAATGTCCTGAATCTATCAATTAAATATTAATATGGTCTAAAATACAAATATTCTCTCTAGAAATGAACAGATACCGGGCTTCTAGGCAGGAGAACGTGTGCCAGAGGTTATCATATAATATATGTTATAGGAATATAAGACGTATCAGGTACCTCACTCGATAATAAAAATGAACACCCCAGGTGTGGGCTGCCCCACGGTGAGAAGCAAAGCATCGCCTTGTGTGACTGCCTAACAGGAGCACTCAGTCCTTACTGCAGAGCTTCACCTGGAAATTTATTCCTGAGTAAGTGGTAAGTAAAGATTTTGACTTCGGACTCATCAGTCTCCGATGATCAGCAGCTTTAATCATGAAGACAAATTTCTGAGCATGTCAAAACATTTATGGAAAAGAATTTAAGAATTAAAAAGCACACAGTGATTCCTTAGGGCTCAGGCTGAAGTCTGAGCCACTATTCCAGCTGTAAGATTTAGTTTCATTTCAGTTTCAATTATAAGATTTTATTCTTGCTATTAATTTACACTGTCATCTGAAATTTAAAGATTTGACGTAGTAAGATGCAATTATGGTGGGAACTAAAGGCTTCTCCAGAATTCTTTGTGTTAAGTAAAGGGCATGTTTTTAGAATTAAACAGTGGAAATATTAGCAAATATTATATAAAGATGTAGAAATGTGGCTTTGTATAAAAAAATTAATGATCTTGGTTTAGATTAACTCCCACTTGCATTGCTGACTATTTTCTCTCATCTTCAAATCCCGTTTTTGTTGCTGAAATGGATTTACCCCTGCTGAGGTGTCAGGTTTGTGCCCACCTCCTCCCTCATGCGTGGTTTGTAGCTACAGCTTCAGCTCTGGGGACATCCCAGGCACTCACAGGATCTGAATTTTGTGCTCCCTTCCCCTAGAAGCTGAAGAAGGGGAGCAGAAGTCAGAGAGCAGAGCTGCTTTCGAGTGGTGACTCCAGCCTGAGCTTTCCAGAGCCTGGGAACTGGCACCTGCATTTCGGCATTCCCTCCGTGCCAAGCAACACCAAAACCTTCTCCAGCCTCTGCTGCCTTACAGCGCTGAATCCATGCCAGAGAGAGGGAGGTGTGCACCTGGAGGTGTTTATTGGGATGGAAGCACAAACCCTGGGCACACCTGTGCTCCAGGCTGGGCTGGCAACTGCCCTCGGCCTCACCAGAGCCAGGCTGGGCACAGGGAGGGGATGGGATGGGATAATGGG